GTCGCCACCTAAATGTTTTTTTAATGGGAAATTTAGGAACCCTGACTCGGTGCCAAAGCCACGTGTCCTCATCACCAAAGTTGCCTCGGCTTTGGAACTTGGGTACGATTGGGAAAGGTCACTTCGTGAGACACCCCGCTCACCCGATCAAAGATCGGCCTCTTACTAACCGTGGATATCTATTTTTGAAAACTTTGTGTGTTCTTATTTCGGTTATTAGCCTAGGTTACTATGTGAATGCACACAGCAACATAAGTATAGAGACGGGTCGCCCGAATCGGAACAAAACATTTCATGCTGTTTATTTGAAAGATGGTTTGCTACTCGCAAGTAGGCTTAAAATGCAGATTTTGCCACCCGCAGGTGGGCTTAGAAAAGATGGTTTCCCTTACTTTCTAAGTGGGCTTAAAACGTTTGATGATTTATTCCAATCCAACTAACCCAACCTTCACCCGAGTGGCCAGGGAATCTTCAGCATTCATGTATTTCTGGGCTTTGGATAGTAGGGCTGCCATGGTGGTTGGAGGGTTTTTGGAGAGGGAGAAAAGGAAATCCGACGACCGCAGGCCGGCCATGAAGGCGGTGAGGATGACCTTGTCGTCATTCTCCGCTACTTGAAGGGCCTCGGTGTTGAAACGGGTGACGAAGCTGCGGAGCGACTCCCCCTCGGTCTGACGAATGTTTAGGAGTTGGGTGGCTGGGCGTCTCTGACGCTGGGCCCCGATGAAGTGGCTCAGGAAAGAGTCACTGAGGTGTTGGAAGGTAGAGACGGAGTCCGCCGGTAACTGGCTAAACCACAATCGAGCTGATCCCTTTAGTGTCACTGGAAAGGCTCGGCACATGATCTCGTCAGGGAAAGCGTGGAGGATCATGAGGGTGCGGTATGTTTTCCAGATGGTCGACTGGGTCCGTCGTGCCATCGAAGGAGTCAATGGTAGGCATTTTGAACTTGGTGGGCAGCGGTTTGTCGCGGATGGAGGCAACAAAGGGCGAGTTGGCGGTGGCTGAGGGCTTGTGTTGGATGTTCTGGATGACCCCTTGTAGTTGGAGTTTCATGGCTCGGAGTTCTGCGTCCCAGAGGGGAATGTTGTCGCCATGGTCGGTCAATGGGGGCTGGACACTACTGGCTTCCCCCTCAGGGGCTAGTGGCACGACTGGCGGGCGTGGAGGCGGGGGTGGTAGGCTCACATGTGGAGGAGGAGGGGGTTGTAAACCTTCTGGGTTGGGAAGGTTGGGAGGAGAGGGTTGTGGGGCAGTGTGGTCGGGGGTTCTTGCTTGGTTGGGTGGAATGTCTGGAGGTGGAGCAGGGAGGTTTCTTTGGAGCAAAGCATTGATCAGGGCCTGGTTTTGCTCGGCCATGCGGTTAATACTGTTAGTAAGTTCGATGATGTACTGTGGTGGGTTGTCTAGATGGGAAGGGTCTGTTTGATGATCGGTGGTATTATGGTGGGAGGCCATGGACCTAGTCGTGACCATACACCTGGACAGGTGAGAGGAAAAAGGTAATAGTGCGGAAGGAGGGCTCCGGCGATAGCGAACACAACTAGCGCACGAATAAACCACCAGCTTCCCACAGACGGCGCCAACTGATAATACTGTTCGTCTCGGGTGGATGGGTCGGGCTGGTCCAAGCCCTTCAAGTTTCCAGTTCAGGATGATGATTCCGCTGAGTGACCTGCAAGCAAGTCCAAAGGGGAACGGGGCAGTCCCCCAGTGAACCCTCCGGCGAGATAATCAGTAGTCGAAGAAGAGAATGTAGAGAGAGAGAGAGAGAGAGAGATAAAAGTCTAACCTTCCTCTTGTCCTGTATCCTTGCTTATATCCTTTGGTAATCATTTCACTGCCCCTTGTGACGTGCCCCCTTCCGCCGAAAGCCTGTGCCGTAGCTTACCTTGTTCAGGGTGAGGGGGCTCTGTTCCGACGGGGAGGTGTTGTCGTAATAAATGCTGTGACGGGCTGCATTAATGGTGATGTGTTGTGGTAATAACTCTGCAGATCTTTGTTTGCTGATGTGGCCTGTGTTCCACCTGCCATGTGCCCAAATGCCATTGGCCCTCCATGTCTAGATCGCCTCCAGCTGTCCTGGGCTTTGTCAACCGGGTTATGCTATTGGTCCCAAGCGATGGGTTTGGGGTGGTTTGTTGTGGGCCGTATGCCTTGTGGGCCCATCCATGTCAACCTATACTCTATTTTTTTGACTATTCACATGTGGTAAGCTTTTCTGAACCTATGATTTGATAAGTGTGAATGAGTTACTATCTTCTGTCTGAACGATATAATAACAATGTGATATTAATGAGAGTATTATTTGTACAAGTGAGTGACATGACATAAACATGAACAGTGGACCTAAGGTCATTCTACATATATTTGAACTATGGAGCGAAGTCTCTCGATATATCTGAATTGAGCCTAAGGTCGTTTTGTGTATTTGATAAAATGGATCCAAGGTCGTTCTAGATCTTCCTGATAAGATTGATTGACTGATATGATATGATTGAATCTCCGAATGGTCTGAATAACTGATATGCAATTGTAATAATTGAATGGCTATTATACTACTGTAAATGATTGGACCCAAGGTCATTCTGATAAGAGATGACTGAATCCGATCGGTGAGTTTGTTAACTGTTGGACCTAAGGTCATTGTGTACACTGTTGGGCACAAGGTCGTTCTATTGAGGAATAATTGAACTCGTACCGTATATTCTGCTATCTCTTGGACTTAAAGTCGTTCAGCCGCATGTTGGACCCGAGGTCGTTCTGATATAAAATGCTTACTGATTATATATACTTATTGATTAGATATGTTTATCTATTAAAAGGGGCTCATTCACTCAACCCCACTACTTTGGTATTATTCATTGGGCGTTAGCTCACTATTTATTTATGTGTATATAGATGAGCAGCGGGATGTGCAGCCTATGCCCTAGTAAACCCGTTAAGGATATCAGATACCGTGGGGTCTGCTTTGAGTGCCTCACGTGCGAGGCATTGTTAATGATTTTCCTTTTGTTTACTTTTGTAGTCCCATATGACCAAGTCTGTATCTAAGCATATAACTTAGTTGCTATTAAGATTGTTTATGAATGATCTTGGATAAATGTATATCAATATTGACTGTATAGTGTGAGTTATTAATATAATGTGAAAAGTTTTTGTAATGCCATATATGCATAATTCATTAGACAAAATTTTCAATTCTGCTTCTCTATCTGGCCCCCTATTAATATTAAATGTGATTGATTTCTGTCTGAGGCTATAAGTAATTTCATGATTATTGGCCAGTTATGATCCTAACCTCTAGAGGCGAGTTCGAGTCATGACGGCTTTCCTAATAAAAAACTCTCATATAAAAATTTATTTCAAATTTGATTCTCATAGATTATATACATTACTTTTTTAGCACAAAAGAAAATAATAATAATAATAATAATAATAATAATAATAGAAATAAAAGTATAACTATAAATTTAATTTTTAAATAATATATTAAATCTATCTTTTTAAAATCAATGGGACTAATTAATTTATAAAAAAAAAATTAAAACTAAACGAATTACTATTTTTTAAGATGAAATTTATAAGTAAATCTTCCCACCTTTTTATATTAACTAGTTTTTTCTAAAAAAAACGTTACCTCCCAAACATGCTTAAATTAAACCACAAGGTCATGTCTGTGCGCGTATGAACTTATTCCATCGCACTTAAAAAGTGCATAGAAAAGGATTTGGAGGTGCTGCGGTGCTTTCTAGGCATAGCAGCCTGCTATGTCCCTTTGTGAGAGTTCGTCCGAATGTTTTTTTGATAATTTGAATCGTTTTTATTGTAGGATTCATCAAAATATTATTTATGTAAAAAATCAAGTTAATCAGATATTTATAACTCAATGATTTGATCTTAATTGTTTTTAAAAATTTATGAAAGTTATGATAATCGTTAATTTTTATAAAAATAAATGTGCTTTGGTTATAGGGCTGCAGATATTCAATCAACTTGATTTTTTGTATGGATAATCTACTCGACAAACTCTACAATATGAATGGCTCAGATTATCAAAAGAGACTCGAGACGACATTCCACAAGAGAACATAGCAGTCTTCTGTGTCTTTGGACACAACAGATCCTAGATCCATAGAGAATAAGACTTTGGTTGTGTTTGGTGTAGAGTTCTAATCATGATTTCGCACCCATATTTGAGTATTGTGGTTGGATATAATTCTCAAAAATTAATTTTACACCCATGTTTGAAAACTTTTTCCAGCACTTGAATTTTGAATTTCGAAATTTGGTCTACTAGTTATTCGCTTGAATTTTGAATTTTGAATTTTTGGGTGTGTTCGATCGTCCTCCAGGACGTTCAGCCGATTTACGGGAACAGTTTTTTTTTTAGTTGTTATGTGAATAAATTTTCCAATAATTTTTTTCAATAGTTATTTTTTAGAATTGAATTTTAAAAAAAAAAGTTTAGTTATGAGTTTTGAATAAAATTTTCAATAAAGTTTTGAATTGTATATTTGGTTATGAGTTACAAGGTTTTTAATTAAAGTTTTGAAAACCATTTTTAAAACTCATAATCAAACAATTTTACTTATTTTAAAACTCATTTAAAAAATTCAATATTCAATTCAAAATTTAATTCAAAACTCTTTCAAAACTCAAAACTAAACAAATTTTTTATTTTCGAATCATAATTTCAAAACTTATAAATTTAAAATACAATTCTATTATCAAATCATAATTCTACAATTCTACTAAACGCGACCTTCTTTTTATTTTTTGTGTCGGAATTTCGAAGGAACAATTTTAGGTGTTGTTTGGTTTTTGAGTTGGGACTAAAAAATCGCAAAAGTGCAAAAAAAAAATTTAAAATCACAAAAGAACAAAAATCACAAAAAGACAAAAAAAAATTTGCCATTCCAAAGTTAAAAGGTCAAATAAAAATACTAAAACAACCAAAAAAAGTCTAGGCTAAAAAAGTTTTAAAAAAACAAAAAATCAACTAAAAAAAGTCATCGCCTCTGTCAGCACCGATCAGAGTCTAGGTGCTCTCAGAGTCAGCACTCTTCCAATCAGCGCCTCCATGGTATTTTCCTTCTCCTCAACACACTTGGTTCTGTCAGTCTTCTGATTCTTCTAGTTTTTGCTGCGTCTTTCTACTAAAGCTGCTTATTCTATCATCTGTAATCACCTTTTTCTGTACTTGATAGGCACAATAGAACTAATTTAGAGATGCCCAAATCAAGATTCCTTCTAATTTCCTCGTACTGTAGAAACTAGAAGGAACCCTTTTAACAATTAATACATTTGAACTTCATCTTTTGCCTCAATCTTTGTATTTTGGGTCAAGAAAAAAACATGGGTTTTGGTTTATCTGTGCTGATAGGGTTGAAGGCAACTGTTCTATTCTTGGTATTTGCTTACCTTAGAGTCCTTGGTTTCAAATTGTTGTCACTACCCGTGTTGTACGCATCTTTGATTTCCATGTTGGTCTCAATTGCTTCTCACCCATATATTAATCTTCCCATTCTTTTGGGGAAAAACCCAGATGGGACTTTCCCCATTTGGTCATTAATTATGTTCAGTCCATACTTGTATTTTGTCCGTGGTTTCTCGGCGTTGCGAAGATTCAGCAGTGGGGAGGCTCCTTATAGCCAAATTAGTGAGGGTTTGTATGTTGGAGGGTGGCCTTGTTCACCTGAAAAACTGCCTCCTGGAAATCCTGCTATTATTGATTGTACTTGTGAATTGCCAAGGAATTTAGAATTACCAGGACATGGATATTTGTGCTTACCCACTTGGGATACGAGGTCACCTCAGACGAGTGAAATGGAATCCGCAATTCAGTGGGCTTGTAGGAAGAGAGGTCAGAAAATACCGATCTTCATTCACTGTGCATATGGTATGATTTGAACTTCCTGTGAGTTTCATGTTTTAGTATTGAAGCAAACTTGGTTCATGAAGTACTTGTTTCTAATCCTTGATGTTTTTATGTTGTTACAAAATTGCTTGATTCTTGTCTGGTTTTATATCGATAAACTGTCCATGAAAACTTCTTTCTGGTATCTTGAATAATGGGTTGTTTGGGGTGTCCTAAATAAGTACACTTTTTGTCTTTTTGGACTAAAAAATTGAGGAAGAAAATATGGATGTTTGGGTTAACTTTTTAACTTTTTATGGAAAAATGTGTAATAAAAAATTGTAAAAATTGATTTGTAGGAAAAAAATAGGATTGAGAGTTATGCAGCCGTAATTGTTGACTTTTGGTGAATAGTGTTAACTTTTTAATTTTTTGGCTTTTTGACTTTTTTACAATATGCCAAACTTGGCCTAAGTGTCTCTTTACGTAGTTGTCAATTGGCAAGGAACATAAGTTCCATTTGTTTTCAATGGAATGGCTGAAACATTTTCATGTCCTAATTGACCGAAAAGAAATGCTCGTGGAATTATGAATTTTTGTTTGCATAAAAACACAGCAGAATATAGCAAAACACACAAACAAACTGTGCAATATACTGAAACAATAAGTTGTGTTGACGCAAACAATAAGTCATTTTCTTTTGGAAATATATAAAAGACTCTTAATATTGTAATACTATTATTATTACTGACTAAGTAAAGTTTTAGAGCTTATTTTGTTGGATCTTACACATTTTTAGAGTCATCTACATTTGAGTTTTAATAAAATTGAGTTGTTTGACAATACTTAATAATTTTTGGTATATATATCTATTACAATTGTTCTTTTATGTGATATATACATCTCAATATGTTTAATTAATCAATCATTAGGTTTTCATACATTTATGCAAATTTCAATTTATGTTACGAAGCATTTCTATGTATATTCAATTTCTTTTTGTCGATTCAAAATGTTTCTGAATGATTTTCATTTCCATGCTAAATTAAACACCCAGAGTCATCTTTACACAAATAGGGGGTGAAATTTCATCTTTGCTAGTGTGATTTTCACCAACCAATCAATAGTTTGTATTTTGAGCTATTGACCAAGCAAAAAATCTCATTTCCACAGATCAAAATTGACCCCAAACTATGATTGAGAACATTGAAGCAAACTCTTGATCTCCGAATGATTATGCAACTAATGACCAAATCCCATATAAGAGCATCAATTCACTGTCCTTCCAAGAAGAAGAAAAACCTTAACTTCAATTTTGTGGCACTCTCTAAAAGGAAAGGAACCTTGGCTTGATGGTGATGCTTTATCAAACTGCTCCCTGCTTCTTATATCATAATAGACTAAAATGCTTGGACACATGATTTTCAATTTTCCACAATATTTGCAAGGAAGCCTCCTGCTTGATTTGATTGCTCTCCATCAGAAATTTTTTCAGATGATCTCATTTTTAAGGGCCTAGCAACTTCAAAATGGGATCTCTTTCTATATTAGCCTTTATAAGGAAAGTAGATTCTTAAGTTATTTTGATTTTCAGGAGGTTGTTTCTTTACTTCCTCAGGAAGGGGTCAGGTGTACAAAGGCCCCTTTGAAAGTGATGTTCTTTGTTTTGACTACTGTATTAGAAGCCAGTTTGACTTATTCATCTAAAAAAGTGGACATATTTCATTACTGATTGCTTTTGTATGTGCCAACAAGAGAAAACTTTTAATCTCCTGCTTAATTCACTTTGGAGTTTTGGCACTTGTTATTCTTAGTTTTGGAGTAGATGGCTCGTCCCTGGTTTCTTTTTGGGCTAATTGGATGGTTAGGCTGGTAGGTGTTCACAAAGAGGTAGGAAGAGTTGCCATTTGGCTCCTTACGCTTGATGTGGTTGATTTGTCTTGAGCATAATGGTTGGTCTTTTGAAAAAAATGAAGTTCCTGTCTATAGATTGACATACTCATTATTGTTTGTCTTTTGTATTATTGCCATCGGGGCTCATTTTCAACTTTTCTCTCTTTTGTAAGTTTGGTACGGGCTGTAATTTCATATTGATAAATTGGGTAGTCTTCTTTTTGGTATATCTTGTGAGTACATGGGTCACACCCTGTTTTCTTGGTGCTATTTAATGAAATACTTGCTTTAAAAAAAAAAAAAAAGAAGCTTAATGTATTTTTTAATACTATCAAGGTTCAAATCATAAGAAAATGGTGCCTTTTAACTTATATTTAGATTACACTATTTTGTATGTCTTATATATAGGTTTGAGGGAAGGGAAAGCTTTAAAGTTCTTCCCTTCTCCAGCATTTTTTTTTTATATATTTTATTTTAAGAAGAAAGAAGAGAAATGTAGAAATCTGGAAAACATTCTCTCTCTGTGGGCCTACAAGAACTATAATATTGAAGTGATTATGAGTGATTGGAGACAAGTACAAATTCAGGAGAAGGTATAATCAAAAAAGGACTTAAGTGAGCTTCTTCCTTCATAGCCAATTCTTGTCTATAACCAATCTGATTATACATTTCATGCTTTCGACTATCGTATATTCTCTTCATTTTAAGTGAGGAATCAAATGATGTGAAAAGTTTACATGGGGCCAACTGAAATAAAGGTTGTAGTTAGGAATGTGTTTTTTTTTTTTTTTTTTGGTATTGCCAACTTCTTTGGTTCAGTTTCTCCATTATAGCGCAGCAAATCACTGATTACGTGGACCTTGTACTGATAATTCTTTTCATGCTAAGATTATGCAAAGTCCCAAAATGTGGTGTACTGGAAAATTTTCAACGCAGATTGGTATAATTGGAAGAATTTGCTACTGGCCTTCCATCAAGGATATGTATGTTTTGAAACTACTGCTGCCAAAGCTATGATTTGTTCTAGTAGTTAGTGTTTTAATGAAGTAATAAGTAATATCATGTAGGAGAGATGGATGGGTGTTTCTAGGTATAGCAGTGGAACTGGCTCATCCTGACAGTAGCAGAATGGACAGAGCTTGAGCTCAACTGGTTAACTCACTGAGAACCAAAACATGCTTAGATAGGATTGCCTTCTTTGCAAAGACATAAGCCGCAACGAATTTCATCAATTTTCTAAAATTTTGACCTTCACTTTCCATTTGGGTTTGAGCTTATTCAAAAAGTTTTGCATTTTAAAACTTATTTCAGTTTCAGCATCTTAAAGTACTCCCTCTGTCTAAAAATATTATTTCCTTATTTTATTTTTTATTGTCTCAAAATATTAGTCTCCTTTTCAAAAATCAAGGACTAAAATAACATGAATTTGTTGGAGATAAGATTATATTGTCAAAGATATCATAAGATATGGACATCATGATTTGTGCTTCTCATGATTTTTTGTATCTTTGATTTATTTTAATTCTTTAATTGAATGGATTTAATTCCATCTCTCACCCTATATAGATGGTGTATCATTTAAACAAGAGGATAAAAGATGTAGCCGTTTAGGACTTTGTGTGTGTGGATAAAGGCCAATTGGCTGAAGCATATTAAACCTTTGTGTTCTTTCTTTTCTCTTTTCTGTCTTGATTATCTCTTTATGTTCAACCTTAGTGCCTTATTACAAAATTCAACTTGGTATCAGAGCCTACCAAACCATAGCCATATTTCCCTCTAGAGTTCTTTCTTACTCTATATTATTCTTTTTTTGGTTATCAAGGTGTTTTTCCCTTTTCCTTGTGTTGATCACTGGTTTGCTGATGTGGCAAGCAAACTTTGTTATTTTTACTTGTTTTGGGGCTGCCAGTATATTTGGTAGCATTATTCCATGATACGCCAAGTTTTTCGGCTACTTCTCTACCCTTTTGGGGTCCCTGTGCTGATATTGTAAACACATATTTGGTTCTTTTTTGTTTTTGGGCCACCGTTGTGTTCGGTAGCATTCGTTGTGATACGTCGTTCTTTCGGCATTGTTGCTTTCTCTCTCTCGGTTGGTTTCTCTTGTTGCCATCATGACTGAGTTGATTCGTTGCCTATGAACATTTCTTAGTTGTAAGATGTTGATTCCTTGCCTATGTTCTCCGAAATTGTCATTAAAGGGAGTTATTACAATTGTTGTCGGCTTTCAACAACTCAATTGTAGTTGTTTGTGATGATCATATTTTTGAGTTCAAGATGGACACTTCACTTCAACCATTCTGTGTTCCAACTTGAGGGGGTGTTGGGGATAAAATTATATTATCAAAGATATCATAAGATATGGAAGTTATTAGAAGATATAGAGATCTTATGATTTGTGCTTCTCATGATTTTTTATATTTTTGATTTATTTTAATTCCTTAACTGAATGGATTTGATTGTAGCTCTCATCCTATATATATGGTTTATCATGTAAATAAGAGTACAAAGTTGAGTGAATGAAAGATGTAGCTGTTTAGGGCTTTGTGTGTGGATGTAGGCCAATATTGGCTGAAGCACGTCAAACCTTTGTGTTCTTTCTTTTCTCTTTTCTATCTTTATTGTCTCTCCATATTCAACGTTATTGACCTATTACAAAATTCAACTGAATTTCTTATCTTGTCCTTCTTTTAAATTCATTAACATTAATATTTTTGAAGTATAATAATTGTACTACCAAAGGGTAGTTTTAGAAAGTTAATATTTTTGAAGTATAATAATTGTACGGGAGGCTCTATTTACACACCACCTTTCTTCTCAAGGCACACCATTAATTAATTTAGTTTTTATTACAATTTTAACCTTAGGTGAAATGACTATAATGGACAAGCTATGATACACACCATTTATATAATTACCATAAAGGACCGGACAAACTACTCTTGTTCGAAAGAAATGGATCGGACAAATTACTCTTGTTCGACAAAAATGAACCGAACAAACTATTATTGTTCGAAAGTCAAGTGTCGAACTCCATATTGTTCGACAGAAATTGACCGAACATATGTTTGGGGTTCGAAATTCCAGTGTCGAACAGTTCGGAAACTCAATCATGCGAATACAAATTTCATGGCAATGGAAAAAACTACTTAAGACCCTAAAATCTGAGCCAAATGAGAACTCACCTACTGTATCTCCAATGTGAGTTGTTTCCAACTGTGTTGAGCACCGCTGATGACGTCTTTGATGAGGAAAAAAGTGTATTCAGCCAATGGGTCTTCACCGTTTGAACAGAGAATGGAGGGGGAGATGGAATATCGTGGGTGGGTGAGGTGTGTGAGTGAGGTTAGATATGGAAGATTGTGGGTAGATTTTGAGTGGGGTGTGTGAGTGAGTGAGGGTAAAGATGGAAGGTTGTGGTGTGTATTGAGTAAAATATTAATTTATTAAATTATTATAGGTGTGCATTGAGAAATGGTTTGCCTTGAGATAAAATGTGATAGAGGCGCCCTAATTGTACTATAAAAAAAAAAAGTTGGATTCCCCAAAAGAGACTAATATTTTGGAACGAAGGAAGTAAATTTTATGCTATCCTAACAAAAATTTGAGGAAGTTTGGTATGTTTGGATTTCACTTCTTAGTTGCACGATCACAAACACCTACGTCACACGAACTCTTTGTTTTTTGGGAGGTACCTCGTGTCGACACGACACGACACGACACGACACGGGTGCGGATGCGGGATATGGCCGGGATACGGCTCTTTACAAATGGATACGGGAGAAGAAACGAAAGAGGAGACAGCAAGGAGAGAACTTGGTCGCTACATCTATCTCTCTATTGCTGACTTCAATCCCTCTGGTCGCGTCCTTTGACTTTGTCTTCATCAACTTCGACTTCGTCTAGTGCCCTTCATCTTTGACGAGCACAACCATAAGCCCCTCTCTCTTTCTCTATCACGTCTCTCTCTCTCTCTCTCTCTCTCTCTCTCTCTTTTATTCTTTATATTCCATCCCTCTATTTTATTTTTTTTATAAAAATATTTGTTTTTAAAAATTGGGCTGAATCAAATAAGTAAAATAAAAATTTGGGCCTACTAAAATTTTGGCCAACAAATCTTTTAATATCATGGGCGGTTATGTGGCTAATTTATATGTTTGGTCCATAAATTATATATATCAAAAATTATTGGGTGTCAACTTTTTAACTCATGTTTATATAAAATATATATTTAATAAATAATTATTTGACGGATCCACGTATCCTTCATTTTTAGTTTTGAAGTGTCTGACCCTTAGATATGCACCCACACCCGATACTCGCACCCCAGTCCGTGTAATGTTGACGAATGCCACTGAATTCATTTTTAAAACCTTCAACCTTAAAAATCACGAACACTATTGAATTCATTTTTAAAACCTCTAGGCATAAATTTTTAAATTAAAATGCTCCATGAAATTTTTGCTAAAGAGAAAATGGCATGCATGAAAAGTGTTTGATTGACGAGAGGGGTTAGAAGGTTATCAATGTTGAAAGCAATCACTGATTCCTAGATTTCTTACTTTTATTTTGTGTTTAATATTTATACCTTTTGACAACATAGAACTTATACCAAGTACAAAATTTTTAAATGAAATATTTGATATTCGAACACAAAGTGTTTAAATGAAATATTTGGAATTTGAACTACATTAATTGTTCTAATGCTTGGAAAATTTTGAGGCTTGTGATCAATTTTCTTTCCCAACTCATGAAATGCTTGCTCTAGGTCATGGACGAAGCGTTGCGGTGATGTGTGCACTGTTGGTAGCTCTAGGTGTGGCTGATGATTGGAAAAATGCTGAGAAGTTAATTAAAGAAAAACGACCTCATATTAATATGAATGCTCTCCACCATAAAGCCTTGGATGAATGGTCAATGCACAAGCTATCTGCTGCGAAAAAAGGATGAAGAAATCCGTAAATTCTGGAATTTTGTCTAATGCTTCTGGATGATCTCAATTAGATAGGCCACATGGCAAAGTTGATTGCCTATTCTCTACTTTCATTCACTATGAATACTTATCCCTCATCTGTTGGTTGGGAATGACTGTATTATTGGTGTTACCTTTGTTATAACTCAGTTATATTATGATATTGTTGTTCTTTTATCGTCTCATTCTGTTTGTTGTCAAGATTTTATATTTGATAATGGATGGAATGTTCAGTTTGATACCAACAAGGGGCAACTGGTTCAGTGATTGAAACCTGGCCTATCATCTTTGAGAATGTGGTTTTGAACCTAGGTTTGTCACTTTTTGTAAATAATGCCAAAGATCAGGTCTATACCTAACTTATCTTTTCCGGACCTCCATGAAATAAGGGTTAAACTGGGCATACATTTTTATTGTTGTCCGATACCATCATTGACATAGATAAGATCTCTCGAATCATATATTGAGATACTACTTGATTGCTTCAAATATATACGGCAGAGATGCTTTTCAGTGTACGAGTGAAATTAGAAAAATAATGTCAGCTAGTTATCATCACCGTCACTGTCACAGACACTATCACTATCGTTACAATATCATCATAATCTTTTTCTTGTCAGGAAAAAAAAAATATATATATATATATATATTATTGTTGCTTATTATAAATAAATAAACCTTATTGTCTAAATTAAGAGCATATGTATGTTCCAGATGCAGTTATATATGAATAGGATGTTGCTGTCAATGTAAGCATTAAATAATGAAGAGTCATTTTGTTGGATGCCACCCATAAGAAGCTTGCTTGTTGAATGTTGGCATAAAAAATGAGAACTTTTTTTAGTACACTGATGATCTCATTAGAAAACCTCTAGTCTTTCTGGATTTTCTTGAGGATGAGCCTTTGGTTTGAGGTGGAGGAAGTGGATGCAAGATTGTCTTTGGGAGGAAGAAAAAAGAGCAGTTCAGTGCACAGGGCTCTCGCCATTGTGGGAATGTCAGATGTATGTAGGCTTATTCCAATACTGCGGGTTCTGGGAAAGGTCTTCTTTCTTTTCGTTTTTGATCGTTTCTTCAGCCTCCCAAGGTTGAAGGCTTGGAGGGAGGAGCTTTCTTTTTTCCTTCCCTTATTTCCTGGTTGTGAATTATAACCATTTTATCTTTAAAATTGATGAGTAGAATCTTAAGAATTTAGCTGCTTTTTGCTGGTTTCGGTGTGTTTGGGAAGACTCTAAATGGACATTGGCATGAACAAGAACAACAAAAGGAACAAGCTTTTCTCCTTAGCTAGATCTGTTGGTTGTTATTCTTCCACAATGCCCCAAGAGTAAATTGGGTTTGCATTTGAATGTCTATAAAGAGGTTTGACTTCCATGCTTGTATAAAGGTGCTGCAAAAATTCATGGAGCACAGTTCTTCTCACATCTCAGAGGATTGTATTTCATCTCTTACTGTTTGATTCAGCACATGAACCAGGAGACCGTAGCATTACCAAAGTGAATATTACTGGCACTTGAATGTGCAATCTTCCAATTTCCATGAACCATGAATTTTGTTAATTTCCTAGAAATAAAGCTTAATATCATAGATCCGCAGCAAAAATCAAATCTATGATTTTTGCATGATTTGGACATCTGAACTGGATGATTTCGAGATCAGAAGGGTGTCGGATTCTTCTATACCAAAATTATCCAAAACATTGACAATGTGGGAAAGCTTCAGAGAAGCCTGGGAAAAATCAAAATTCATTTCGTTTAGTTGTGTTTTCATTTTTTTTTTTTTTAGATTTAAAAAAAAATTAAATCAAGCCCACATTTTAGAAAACATCAAAAAGTTGTTTATGATTTTTTTTTTAATTCTGTTTTTGAACAAAAATAAAAATAATATAAAAATGATAACTGTTCAGTGAATTCAGCCTATTTGAGCAAAACCCAAATGAACATGAGCTACCATTCTTTTTCCTCGAACCATCTGCCAAACGGTTAAAACTCAAATCCGAGCAAATACCCATCAGGGAAGTTTCTGAAATGCTGAAGCATTTGCAGGAGATGTGGTAATTTCTAAATATACATTATCAAGCATAAAAGAAAATTGTTTATTAGAGAGGAAGTACTTCGATTTGATTTTTAATGTTTTCTGCAATACAACATCAAACTGATCATAGGACTGAATGGAGATACATTTCTGTGTTTGAAGAAACTCTCAAATCATAATTCCACCCCTCTATTTGCACCATCGGTTTGGATAGAGTTTTGAAAATGTGATTCCACCATACATTTCAAAACATATTTCTCTTTTACGTTTGGCATATCTCTCTCTTTCGTCTTCTCCATTCTGAAAAGCAAGGGAGATTTTGAATTTTGTGTCTACACGGTCAACCTCTAGATATCCCCCTAGACGTCCGGCTAGTAGACCGGAACAGTGTAAATTTTTTATTTATTTTTTATTTTTTTGCAATTGTCAATCGCCTGCTATTTTAGGGGAGGGGGGAGAATTATATTTGTTTTTGATATTTTTTAAATATAGAATTTATTTTTTTTACACCAAAATGATAATTTATTTTTTTGAATTGAATGTTAAAAAGGGTTTGGTTATGAGTTTTGAATATAATTTGCAATGGAGTTTTGAATTGTGCATTTGGTTATGAGCTATAATTTTTTAAATTAAATTCTGAAAACTCTTTTCAAAACACATAACCAAACAAATTTTCTTAATTCATATGTTACATTAAAAATTCAAAACTCAATTCAAAAATCTTTTCAAAACTCATAACTAAACAAATTTTCTCTTTTTAAATCATAATTTTAAAACTCACAAACTCAAAATACAACTCTATTTTCAAATCATAATTCCTCTTTTTAAATCATAATTTTAAAACTCACAAACTCAAAATACAACTCTATTTTCAAATCATAATTCTAAAACTCTACCAAACGCAATTTTTTTTTCTTATGTACAATAGGTTGGAACTAGGGGGCACAAGCCTATGAAGTTTTGATAATTATATTAATATATATATATATAGATATATTGATATATAGATTATATTATATATATTCTCTATAAAATTATAATATTATCTCTTAAAATTGTAATAGAGCCCTCTATTATAAATTTTTCTTCTAATTACAAAGAACCTACTAAGGGTGTATCATATATAAGTTATGACTTTGTGATATTTATATCATAAATTTTCATAATCAAATTATTTCCATTCATAACTAAAATGACCACTATATAAATTATAACCAAGCAACACATCTTCAATCACAACAAACAACAAAAAAATCACAATAACTCAAAACTAATATCAGAATGAGTCATAATTAATCATTGCTTGATGCATAATTAAAAATCTCTTTAGTCACACCCAAAATAATAACCACAAGAAATTATAACTAAGTTATATCTAACATTACAATATGTCATAACTAAATACCACAAAGATCATAACTATAACATATGATAGACATTTTTTTTACAATGTATTTTATAAAATTTCTCTATTTAAATATATCATTTCTATCTCAACTTATCTTCTTTTTTAATTTTTCAGTCCACCTAAAATAGTTACTCCTCAATATTTGTATAAAATTTAGCCTCAAATCCTTTAATTTAAAATTCGCATTTATCCAAATAGACTCTTCATATTTAAGTTAAGTAATATCTCACTATCGTTTATTATGAAGAAAAAAAAAACAATGTTGTCATTAATTTGTATCTCCTCTTTACTGAATTCCTTCCTGACTCCACCATGGTCACTACAGTAGTCACCTTGAATGTACTGAAAATGTAAGCAACACAATGTTTTCAAAAGCCTTGTCCTACCATTTTTAGGCCACGAAATTCACCATACAAACAAATACGACCCAAGTAATCTGAACTTTTGATACATATATTTACGGATTCTTAGACATTTATATTTTACCTTATTGCAAATTTGTCACAATTTATGATCCTAAGCTACCACCAGTCTTCGCAGCTTCTGCACTGCTTGTCAGAAAAGATTCTCCACAGCCACACTGCCCTTTAGAGTTTGGATTGATAAATATGAACTCGGATCTGCTCAAAACCCGAATAGGATTGTCAGAAGTGATGAAAAGAAGCAAGAGGGTAAAAAAGGTTTTTCTCAAGCAACCTTGTCGAAGTTTAACTGAATACTAAAATTCAACTTCTCAACTAGTGTTGTCAGCTGAGCAGTGCTAAAATGGTTGATTCTCTCAATTCAAGGCTGTGTTTTGATATAGGATTTGGGAAGAGATTTGTAAAGGGAAAGACAAATGTAAGGGAAAATTGAAAAAAAATTAATTTATATTTCAGCCCCTTGTTCCGTCCCTTTTCCTTTCCCTCCACAAATACTTCCCCAAATCCTAAATCCAAACACAACCTGAAGAAGATATTAGGAAATGGAAGTCTTCACTTTTGACAAAGTAGATAATACACCTTGGAATAAATCACAGTTGCAAGTGATGTGACATAGAATCTAACATCAGGTACATTCATTGTAGTGACCATGTGGACAGATTACATCAAACACGATAGATGTGTAAGCAGCTATAAAATTTATCTGTAAAAACAACCATGATTGATATTTGGCTATACCTGAGTTTGTCATCAACAAAATCCATCTTGGTTCCTATGACATGCATGAGAGCCTTTGGATCAATCAATATCTTCACACCATTTTGCTCAACCAACTCATCGAACTTTCCCTTCTCATCTGTATATTTGGTGTATTGGCACATTGGGAAATTGATGTCAGTGAAGCAGTAACAACATTTTTAAGTTACATCCAAATAACTTGGAGCACAGAAAAAAGATTGGGTAAATTACTAATATACTCCCTGAGAATTATTTAAAATACGAATTTTTCTTCGTGGTTTGAAAAATTACGAATACCCCTTATCAAAATTTTTTATTTAATAGAATTAATTGAAAAAATGAAATTCCTAATTGCTCTCTTATACAATAATAAAATTATCAGAATTATTGATTGAACTAAATTCCTGACATCATTAAAAACTATTAATTGACTTGATGATTTATTAATAAAAGGGGCTATTTATTATGAAATTAGAAACTTCAAGGGGCGGGATGTAATTTCCAAAACCACTAAGTGGCAAATTATACTTCAAGCAAACCTCATGTGCATATTCTAGGTTGAATCTAAACAAAAATTCAAGGGATGCAAGTGGGCAGTTTTAGAAAACTCCAAAGGTGAAGTTAAATCCAAAGAAACGTATGATCTACGGAGATATGACCCCTTTCCAATGATGTTGTCCATATAGCAGATACAGGCAAATCAAATTAAATAAAGTGTAACTTCAACACCTATGGAGATAAGTTGCATCAAATTCATGTGAACAGACAGATTTGAAGCCTAATTTGGTAGTTTTGGAATTAAATGAATGAAAGAACCAACAAGGAGCCAAAACACAAAAAGGAAACTACGTAGTTTAAGAAGATACCAACTGATTCAAATTCTAGAGAAATTAAGACTGGTCCAACTGTCTGTAAAGAATGTTTCCGACAGCCTTGAGTATAAACTGTTTAAGTGAGTGTAGACTCTACTACTCTAATAACAAGTTAGAGCATTAGGCACCTGAAATTGCACCGTGGAGGGGTATCTAAATAGTCTCAAGACTGAACTCAAATGATATCTGACTATAATAGGTAGTTCTAAAATATTTGTCAAATCTGATATAAACTAATTAAACTTAAATGTCCTATAAACCAAACACTCTCATACAAGGAGTTGGGCTTAGGGTAATTGATGAAGATCATGGAAAAAAGAAAATGGGGCAAATTTGGAATTTCATATGAAGCATGTTTAGGGCATCAAGGATTGAAGTTTTGGAATAATTTTGATCCATTAATTGTATTTATTATAATTTATGTTGCTAGATAGATTTATATTATTATAGTAAGTTTCAAAACTAATGGGTATTATGGTACGTTTAATAATTGATGTACATGATTAGTAGTCATAGTCCATGGGCTGTCTTGCAGGTCCAGTAAATGTTATTTGAATTTTATTTAGAGTCCTAGTTGGTCTAGAGTATTAGTAGTATCCAAATATTCTTAGTTTCTAAAATTGAGTAATAATCTATAGAAATAGGAAAGTCTTTAACCTATAAATATATGTAATCTCAATGATTCAACAAAAAAGTTAATACTACGAGAATTTGCGATTGTGTTCGTGTGTTATTGGCCTATTCCTTGTGAGGGTGAAACACCCCTTTTTTTTTTCTTTTTTTTTTTAGGAATCAGCAACAAAAGAAGAATTTTATTAAAATGGAGAAAAAAGTAATACAAGGAGGACAAGAAGTCCTCAAAAATGAAAACCAAAAAAATCAAAAAATGGCATATGGCAGTGTTTTAGGCGCGCACTTAGGCGCGAGGCGCACCTGAGGCGCCTCAGACAGCTTGAGGCGAGACGCAATAGGAAAGGCGCATTTGAGGCGCTTGATGGATATATGGCTTTGGGATTACAACCCCTTAGGCTTAGGCACGAGGCGCACGCCTCATGCGCTTCATTTAAATTTTTGCTCCATCCTTATTCTTTGTGTGTGTAACCATATGGAATTACAACTCCTTTAATATAAAATGTAAACAGATTCTTTGAGTCCCAATTTTCATATCAAAAAAAGCTCTAGTCATTAAGCACAAGCTCTAGGATTGCAAGATGGATATATAGCTTTGGGATTCCTTTCAATGTAGTAAATTATAATAGTTTCGGACCAATGATTGAAGCTATTGGGCAATTTGGTCCCAATTTAAAATTAAAACCACTAAGGTGCAAAAACTGCACAAAGCCCAAACACCTTTGTTTTTTGTTTAGGCCTAAGAATCGAAAATCAATAGAGGGTGAAGCACCTTTTCCTCTACTTCTTCTCTTTCTTCTTCTTTGCGCACATACCCAAGTTATTATTTTTGGGTCATTATTCATAGCCCACTAAAAGTGCACTTTTTAGCCCCAAAACCCTATCCTATCACCTCCAAATCAACACTAATCATTTCCCCTACCCATTAATCTTCAATTTAACCATTAAAACCCTAAATTACTCATTATTTGAACCTTTAACTAGCCTTTGTTTAAAAATCCAACAAGCTGTCCTATTTTGTTGCGCCTATGGGGCAACAACCAACAATATATGGTGTATCCATTGTAAAACTACAAGACTGAAAGGAGAACGGTAAAATGAAAAAGCTTAACAAAATCCATAACATTCATCAAATGCCTTCCAACCTATTAAGCACGGGTATGACACGATATGGATAACTTGATACCAAAATTTCTAAAAAAGTCGGATACGGACACGTTAATAATATGACGATAAATGTGTATAAATATGATGCATACTAAGAACCACAGACTCTTCTAAGGAGGTGGCGTACCCATGTCGTGTTTGTTTTATACACCAACACCGACCCCGACACATGTCCAAAACTCGTCAAAACGTGTCTTATTAAAAAAAAAAAAAAAATGAAGAAGAAGAAGAAGAAAAAGTTAGATCTAGACATTCTTTGGACACTCGTGTCCTTTGCTTAAACAAAGGTGTCCACCGATTAGGCACATGAAATTAATTAAAAGTTTGAACTAAATAACTTAGGATCTATGAAGCATGGACACGCCAGATTTCATGCCGTGGCAGTGTCAGACACGAGGACACATTGGAAACACGGGGACACGCAAGGTCGGGACACACCGGGTGGCATGTCCTTTTAATTTAATTATTTTTTTGCAGGGGACACGCGTGTCCACCAAATCTGGACACTAGTGTCCAAATTTGGACACAGAGCAAAAGAGAAGAGTAAAGGTCAAGAGACAAACCTGGACTTCGATCGAGGTGACTCGCCTGTCGACCTCCATGACTTCGACCATCGTAAGTCGTCGACCTTGACCTCGTCGTCGACCTCCATCCAGTAACTTCGACCACTGTAAGCCTCTCTCTCTCTTCCTTTCTCTCTCGCCTTCCGTCTTGCTCACGTTTCTCGCTCTCTCTCTGCTCTCGCTAATTAATATGTATAATATGTATATATATATATGTATTTATTTAATCTATGTATATATCCAAATATCTCTCTCTCTCTCTCTCTCTCACACACACACACACACACACACACACACACACACACACACACACACACCTTCCCTCTCGCTCCCTCTCTTGCTCTCGCGTCTCGCCCTCTCTGCTCTCGCTGATTCATATGTATAATATATATATATATATATGTATTTATTTAATATTAATAAAAAGACATATCTTATATCTTATATAATATATATATAAGAAATAATATATACTGATACATATTAATAAATAAAAAAAATAGATAAAATAAAATTAAAAAAACATAATAGAAACACATTTATTTAAAAATAAAATAATTAACTTGTATTAAAATAAAAGTATTTATAAAAAAAAAATTTCATGTCCCCAACTGTGTCCGTGTTTGTGCTTCATAGCTTAGGATACAATAATGAAAGAAAAAATAATGTAAATTTATAAAATAAGTGTTATATTATATATATTTTTTTATTATCTTTGAATGATGTATTCATATATATAACATATAATAAGTACATAAAATTATATATTTCATGCGTGTTCCCTGCATATTATATCCTGCATTTTTTAAAAATTAATGCGTGGGCGCGTCCGTGTCATATTCATGCTTCTTAGGATGCATATATGTATATAAGTAAAAATGTAATTTTGTCATAATATATTTGTAATAAATCATGTATTTAATTATTTATCAAATATTCTCAATTTCAATTTTACTCCGCATTGAAATAAAAAGGATCAAGGTTATATTATGAAAACACAAAGTTGAACCAAATTCAACATGTTTTAATCTCATTATTTCCCAATATTCATTCTTTAAGGAGTATACAAAGTACTGGAAATCATTGTTGTATTATTTTAACAAATTATACTCTAATACTAGACAAGAAATGTCACATCTTAATTATAAGATAGGTCAGATACTTGGAATATCTAGAAAGTATCTAATACTCATTTAAAGTTAAAGAAATTAATTTCAAATTGTGAAAAAATTTACGAAGTATCGGATACATATTTGCGAGTATCCAAAGAATATCGATATCCGATACAGATATGACTCCCTCGTAGAAGTATCCATGCTTCATAGCTTCCAAAAAATCACAAGAGGCACATTTCCTAAGTCTAAATTTCTTTCCCCAATCAGCCCCAAAACTAAAGGTGCATTTTTCTAAAAACTTGTCTTTCGTGAAGCTAACATCAACAATATTATAGGCATCACACAACAAAACGAACATTAAAGTTAACCAATGGGATTAAATATTGAAAGTAACATCAAAATGAAGAAACAAAACCTTAATCTATTAGTCATAATCAGATTGCCAAACAGAGGGAAATCCATTCCAATATTCTATTAATTGTTTCCAATCAACTAATAAAGCATTTTTACAGTAACATGGGGCTCCTTATAAAGTTTAGAGGTAAATCAAATGCCATCACCTATTAAGCACGAATACCTCCCCAGGCCCTTGTATCACTGTCTGACACATCTGGGACACAGACACGCTCATACACGTTCTGGACACGTATTGGACACACCTCTAAAGGTGTCTGAATACTTTATTTTATTTTTGTTTTTCAAGCACATCATGAACACTCTTAGGGAAACATTAGTGAAAAGCGGGACACGCTGGGGCTGTTGAAAATTTTAAAACTATGTACTGGGGGTCAAAATGTAATATTAAACTTTGAAACAAAATATCCAATTGTCAAATCCCTAATTCAGTATCAGTCGTAATAGAAAGAAGAAAAAGGAGAGAAAAAAGAACAAGATCGTGAAACAAAACCTTAATCTGTTAGTCATAATGAGATTGCAAAAAAGCGGCAATCCATTGCAATATTCTATTAATTGCTTCCAATCAACTAATAAAGCATTATACAGGAACATGGGGCTCCTTATAAAGTTTAGAAGAAAATCAAATGCCAGCACCTATTAAGCACGGCACGGATACCTCCCTGGGTCCTCATATCAGCATCTAACATGTCTAGGACAGGGACATGCTTCGACACGTCCTGGACATGTGTTGGAAACGTCTTTGAGCGTGTCCGGATATTTTATTTTATTTTTGTTGTTCAAACATGTCTCGGACACACCTGGGGACACGTTAGCAAAAAGTGGGACACGCTGGGGCTGTTAGAAATTTTAAAACTATTTAGTGGGGGTCAAAATGTAATATTAAACTTTGAAACAAAATAGCAAAAGCCTTAATTCAGTATCAGTCGTGATAAAGAGAAGAAAAAGGAGAGAAAGAAGAAGACGATTGGGAAACAAAATCTTAATTCAAAAAATAGGGCAATCCATTGCAATATTCTATTAATTGCTTCCAATCAACTAATAAAGCATTTTATAGGAACATGGGGCACCTTATAAAGTTTAGAAGAAAATCAAATGCCATCACTTCTTAAGCACAGGTACCTTCCCAGGCCTCGTATCAGTGTCCAACACATCTGGGACACGGACATGCTCAGACAAGTCCTGGATGCATGTTGAATGAACACACTTCTAAAGGTGTCCGAATACTTTATTTTATTGTTGTTGTTCAGACACGTCTAGGACACTATTGGGGACACGTTAGTGAAAAATGGGACATGCTGGGGCTGTTTGAAATTTTAAAACTATATAGTGGGGGTCAAAATGTAGCATTAAACTTCGAAACAAAATATCCAATTGCCAAAGCCCAAATTCAGTATCAATCGTAATAGAGAGAAGAAAAAAGGCAGAAAGAAGAACACGACCAGGAAACAAAACCTTAATCTATTAGTCATAATTTGATTGCCAAAAAGAGGGCAATCCATTGCAATATTCTATTAATTGCTTCCAATCAACTAATAGAGCATTTTACAGGAACATGGGTCACTTTGTAACGATAGAAGAAAATCAAATGCCATCATCTATTATGCACGGATACCTCCCCAGGCCCTTGTATCAGTGTCCGACATGTTTGGGACATAGACACACTCAAACTCATCCTGGACACGTGTCAGACACACCTAAATCCTAGTTTTTTTTTTATTATTTTATTTTAATTGAACATGTGCCGCAAAGTGTTCGTGTCGTGTCCGTGTCCCGTGTCCGTATCCGTACTTGTTAGGACATCACCCTCCATCCTCTATGTGAACTACTTAATAGACAAAACAACTGAGGAAAGTACAAATGAAAAATATTCAGTTAGAAGAATCTACCCCCACTAATACCTTAAAAAGAAGCTACATGAAACAGATCACAAACTAAACTTATGATCATGGAGGTTTCTCCTACAATCAGGATATAATTACCCAACTCTGATCCAAGCATGACTTAATAAATATATCAGACTCTCAACAGCCAACATAATTGACTTGCTAAAACCTCTCATATGTTGACACCCATAGGAATTTGCCATCCTAGCTATAGTAAAGTTGATGGAGTTTATCTCATAGATTATTAGTGTAACAATTCTCTGTAACCCAGTGTTCCAAGCAAATCTGCATGGAAGAAAGTAAACTTGCATCCCATTTTCTGTATATGAATTTTTTGACTATGCTATAGGCCAAATCAAACGTGAAAGTTTTGGGTGTTTATTTTGAGCACCAATGCCCAGCACCTAATTAACTTAGTCCACGATTAGCTTATGATTGCTTTCATATAATGAATTTTTTAAGTTGAGATTGAAAATTATACCGCGATTTGTTTATTTGCCAATCCGCCATTCACGGGTTGGTTTGTAATTTTACTCTCAAATCACCCCAACCGCACCGTGCACACCCCTAACCACCACAATGTAGATGGATATCATTCAAAAGCTAGCTACGAAAAAACAACGAAAATACAAAATTTGATTGATTCATCAAATACCTCCAAGTTTGGTATGTTTCTACAAATTCCGAGGTGTTTTTTTGTTTTGTTTTTGATATGTAGGGTATGTTGGGCCAGTTTGCGCACACGAAACTAAGTCTCTACAACCCCAACAAGCCTTTCGAAATAGGCTAATTCTTTGCGGTCCGTGGCCATAATAGTTTTGCTGGGGAGGGGAGTCAAACTTGAGACCTTGGAGGGAGCAAATTCCAAGCCTCAAATTCGAACCTGTAACCCCAAGTCCCAGGCCTCATCCACCAGGCCAAATCCTTGAGGTTACAAATTCCAAGTTTGATTGCCAGAAAAGAAAAAAAAATCACCAATTAGCATATAGACAACCATTGAAGTATAATTCACATAATCAATTAACAAATCTATTCCATCTTTTTCTTTGTTATGCGCTTCAAAGTACAGAAAAACTAGAAAATTTATACATGTAATGATACAATAGCAACAATTTCAAGCCTGCGAGTGAAATAAATAACCTATTTCAAATTTCTTGCAAAATTGGTATGTCCCCAAAGTAAGAAATCAGCCTAATTTAGAACCCAAAAACATTTCTGAAAATCAATCCTTCCCCAATTTCACACACACTAGAGGCTATATGTTAAATTAGATTCAAATATGTCCTATTAAAATACAAAGGATCTGCATGAATTTTCATATACATATACATATATACCGAGGAGAGAGAGAGAGAGAGAGAGAAAACCTGCATAATTGAGGGTGTAGGATAAGCCGTTGCAGCCGCGAGCCTTGACGCCGAGCTTGAGAAAAGGGCGTTGGCGCTGCTGCAGAAGGTGGCGGATTCTAGAGGCCGCCGCTTCAGTTAAGCTGAGGGCTTGCCGTCGGACGGCGGCTCCCACCTTTTCTCCGGCTGCTGCCATCATCCTGGAAGAAGAAGCTGCCATCTCTCTCTCTCTCTGTCTAGAATGTTAATAGGTGATAATAGGTATTGAATTTTATTTTCGAAAAATGCTTGGACCCACTAATTAGGTGGCAGTGGGTCTCGCTATTAATAATATGATGTTTTAGTTTTAGAGTTGTATTTTTTTTTTTTTACTTTTTTAATACATTAGTATTATTAGTGGTGATGTTTTTAGTGGGATGAATCATTGCTGTTTATTTTCTGCCCTTAAACAAAAAATTATTTTCGTCTAATGAGTTGTTTGGGCTTTTCTAAATAAGTATACTATTTGAATTTTGGAGTTAAAAAGTTAGAAAAAAATATAATTATTTGAGTTAATTTTTTGATTTATGATGAAAAAATGTGTATTAAAAAATTACATAAATTAGTATATAGGAGAAGATTGAGATGGAATAGATGTCGGGACGGGGTGGAGGGTAGCCTGAGATATGATTTCCTATTTTTCGGGTATTTAATTGGAGGGTTGTTCTGCCTATAGAGGTCCACTACGGGTCTTGTTTTGTTAATCAAAACCGTTCAATGTGTAGAATTCGTTGAGTACTATATGCTTGTAAAAAATCACGTTGATTGGATATCGATAGCTATCTAATCAAATTAGTTTTTTTTCAATCGTTAATTATAACACTATCCATTTTATAAATTTTAACTGATATAATCATATAGTTACCGATATCCAATCAACATGATTTTTACAAGCATATAGTACTCGACAAGTTTTACACATTGAACGATTCCGATTATTAAAACGAGACCTGTGATGGGCCCCTGCAAGCCGAACATCACCGTGTTATTTGTGCATCTAAATAAGTGCAATTTTTCCAAAAATGCTGCTCCGCCTGTGGGACAGAAGAGTTGTCTGAAATGTAATTATGTGTTAAATTAATTTTTTAATATTTTTTTTTGTGAATAGTGATAACTTTTTTACTTTTTGAATAACTTTTTGTCTTTTTTTAAGACATGCCAAACCAGGCGATTAGCTATTTATTTTAGATTATTAATTTGTGACAAATAAAATATTAAAGAAAATTTGGTCTAAAGTCTCTCTTTAACTTTTAGTAATAAGAAAAGTTTACAATATATATATTTTTTATAGCTTAAGATTTTTCATCCACATTCATATATCACACTCACTCTTTATGACCTTGCTTGATCTTGTTCTATTTTGTAGCCTCCTCCTCTGCCTCCGCCAGGGGTGGTCGCGGATCGGATTTGTGCGATCTGCGATTTGGTTTTGACTCGCTAGCATCTATACAATTTGGGAAAAAGTCAACCCGCAACCGCTCGCAGTGTGGTTTGCGATTTGTGCAGATAATGTTCGCAGATGTGCGGACGGTTTGCGGTTTGAATGTTGCGGACAGAGCACTTTGAACCCTCCAAGTTCAACAAAAGAAACAACCATCACTAGTATTCAAACCATGGTGTGTGTATAAAATATATGAACTGGTACATATTTATATATACCAAATAAAAGAAACAGCAAAGGTCTTTGTTATATATATACATATATGTGTATATATATATAGGTTTATGCTTTTGTTTTTTTGGAATTCCAGAATGGAAGAGAGAGAAATAGATTGTCATGTGTTTGATGATTTGAGACTCCAATGCCACCGATTCCTTAATCTCGAAGATCACGCCATCGGAGCTTTTTAACACGATTGTCTTCGAAGTCAACATGGTTGTAGTGAGCAGATCGAAGGCCATTAAAGTGCCGTCTAGAAGCTCTGATTCAGATTGTCGTTTCGACGAGTCTGACGGTGAATCCCACAGTCGCAAAGAGAAGTCCTTTGTAAACGAAGATTGCGAAGCGGTTGAGGGGTGTGTAGGGTGTGTAAGCTCTGGTTCTGGTCGCCATCGCCACAGAGAGAGATATGGGAAATGAAATGAGTGAAAAGAAGAGAGCTATGCAGATTTCTCAGATTAGGATTAGGGTTTGGTTTGTTTGGTCAAAACAAAAATATCCAGGATAGATCATAGATGAATGGTTCAATTTTTTATTTTTTATTTTTAAAAATTATAAATTCTAAGTGCGAGCGGGTTGTGGGAGGTGCAGTTCTAACCCGTAACCCGCCCACAACCTACCCGCAACTCGAAAACTCACTATATTCCAAACCGCACCCTACTCTATTGTATTTGCGAAACCGTCCATACGTGTGCGGGTCGGGTCGGGTCGGGTCAGGTTGCGCGGACCGGATAGCCCTATGCCCAGCCTTAGCCTCTGCTACCTTGACTCTCTCTCTGAATTGAGAACGATAATAAAATTGAAGCAAACAACAATGGTTTCTTCAATCTCAGGACTTTCTGTGTGAATTCGATTTGCTCATCCAAATCTTACATCCCTTCTTCTCTTTCTTCAAGCTTTCTACTTAGTTCCCTTCATCTTCAAAGCCATGGCAGTTCTGTCAATCATATTCAGCGAAGCTAGGTTTCATCTCCACGAAAATCTTTGAGATTTCTTCTCAAAAATTTCTTTGACGCATTTTACTTTCATCCTTAAGTCTGTTCATCTTCAATTCAGTTCATCTTCATTCATAATTAGGGTTTCATCATCACCACCTCACTCAAATAAGTGCTTCTATTCCTGAACTAGTTTTTCTCTGTAATACACAGTTCATTGCATTTTATAATATTCTTCAATTAATTAGGGTTTCGATTGTATTTTGTATCTTCTTGAAACTTGTTATGTGTTTTTGTCTATAATTGTCTCTTACATTTGAATTTTCTCTAATGACATTAGATTCACTTTACTTTATGTGCTTGCGTTAAAGCTAGTAGTTTGGTTGATGAATTTCTCTGCAATTTCTTTGTCATTAGTTTGGTTGAGATGAATTTTCTCTGGCATTTCAATTTGTATTACTTGTTTGATTTTCATTGGTTAGTTTCCTCCATGTGATGAACTTTCTCTAGAATTTGAATTTTCTTTGATCACAATTATTATCACATTAACTTATATGCGTTGATTGATTTTCTCTGGCATTTGAATTTTCCCTAACCTATCAAATTATGTTGCTTGTTTGATTTTTACTGGTTAAGTGTATCCTTGTATTTAATTTTTCCCTTGAGATGAATTTTCTCTGACATAATAATTTTCTCTAAACACATTGGATTCACTTTTATGTTATGACCTTGCTTGATCTTATTGAAGCTAATAGTTTGGTTGAGATGAATTTCTCTACAATTTCTTTGCCATTAGTGTCTTGATTGATTTTCTCTAGCATCTGAACTTTTCCTGTGAGCAAACCAAAGAAATTTCAAACTAGAAAAATTTCAAAATACAAAGAAATAAAATATTGATTTTTGGAGATTTTTTTTTTTAAGTATCTCATATTAAGATTTTATAACGTAAAGGACATGAAATTTTTTCACAGTAATTGGGATCTCTCAAATTTTTACAAAGAAATTTTGAATTAGAGAAATTTTGATCCAAAGAAATTTCAAAACACATCTGATTCAAAAAAAAATTTGTAAAAATTTGAGGGATCCCAATTACTATGAAAATATTTTATATCCTTTATGTTAAAAAATCTTAATATGAGATACTTAAAAAAAATTCCCTAAAAATTAATACATAATTTATTATGTTACGTTTAAATAATTTTTGCTTCATTTATGGATAAATTTTTATAGTCCAATTAAACTTTTAAGACAAACTTAAGTAATAATTTTAATAAAAGTTTTCTGTCAATTATTTTTAGAGATTTCCATCATATCTTAACTATGGCAATTAGTGACTAAATTAAATAAATATAGAATTTGGCATTTGAGTTAAGATTTCAGTTTGCATTTATTTAAGTAAAAATTCAAGTAAAACCAAATTTGGTATGAACTTTGAGTTAAGAAGTGGAGAGTGTTTGGAGTGTTTTTTTTTACCAAAATTTAAGTTGTTTGTTTGTTTGTTTGTTTTTTTTTTTCTTTTCTTTTCTTTTTGAACAGAACTAAAATTTATGTTTTAATCAACATTTGAGTGAAGATTTTTTTTTGTTTTTTTGTTTTTTTTTTGCCAAGATTAGTTAATTGTTAGTAAAATTAGATTATAACTTGAAGAGTTTGCCGTTGCTCCATCAACTCAAACTCTTGATCTTCTCCTCACCACACTCTAAGATATGGCTACAAGACTACTAGGCCAAAGCGCAAGGGCTTTGACTGAAGATTGGAAATGCTTGTTTTTAAAAAAAATTATTTACAAACAAACTCTACACAAACAAAAAATTTATACATAATTTTCATACATAATGATGTGTTTCATTATGGACTTTTCAATTCAGAATAAAACATCATTAAATATGAATTTATTTATAATAATGATATTATCACATCATTCTTGTTGAATTTTTTTTTATATAAATTTTATGTAAAAATAGAATTTTTCTTTATAATATAAATAAAAATACATCCGGACAATCATAATCTAAAAATTATAAAAACTCAACAATCTATACAAGCCACCCTAATTGAAACGAAACTACTAAACCAACAATCAAAGCAACTTTAAAAATAAAATAATAATAAAAAACTGCATAATGAAAAAATAAATTAATAATACAACAAAAAGAAATTACCAAACATTATATTTCACAAAGAATAATCCCTTGACTTCTCAAATAGAATGTACAAAAATAACTAAACTAGTCCAGCTGGTAATTGGAGATACTCTTAATTACCGAACTAACATGGTGTTTGAGATAATTTAAAGGGCAATGCACCAGTAAATCTCAAATCTTTATCTTATAACCCATTTAGTCCTATATTTTATCTTATGATCCAATTAGTCCCAAGCTAATGTTAATGACAAAATAACCAGTGTTACACTGTGTTTTTACCATTTTTAGTAAGGGTAAATGCAACGTGGTATTGACTGAAATACCCAAAACTCTATAGATGTTTGTTTTCCCTCCAAACAAACATCAACAAAACATAATCAAAACATCAAACATTAAAACATCAACAGACATCAAATATCAACAAAACATCATCAAACACACCAACAACACCAAACATTAACAAAACATCATCAAACATCA